GAAAAAAATTCATTTGAAAAATGTCGAACTTCAAATCGACCGCGCCAAAATTAGCCTTAGGTAGGCCAAAGTGCCAGAACAAAAGTTGTTACTCTCGACCAGGTCTACAAAAGCCGCACTAGCCGTTTCTTTCATTTTCAAAAATAAAAAATCGATGCACCCTAATGTTTATTCATGTTTTGGCTACGCACTGTGATGATGCACATTATTACGCAGTTCTTATTTACTTTGCAACAATAACGGATGTGAAACGTCAAATCGTTTTGAATTTGCACAAAAAAGGTTTGCGACAAGTGGATATTTTTCGGCGGCTTCAGACCGACAATATCAATTTGTTAATTATTCATCGCACAAAAAAATCTGTACGAACAAGAGATCTGGTCAAAAAAGTACGAAAGAAAATTCGTCGGAACAACAAAAGAAGCGCCGGAATCTTGGCTCGTGAGCACATTATCAGTCACACTTCAATGCGACGAGTGTTGAAAGAAGATTTTGGAGTGAAACCATTAAAAAAAACCGAAAACACGGTTTAACAATAAAAAATAAGCAAGACAGAAAGCGGAAATGCAAATAACTGCTACGCCGGGCCGCAACCTCAAACATTGTTTTCTCAGATGAAAAGTTGTTCCGTTTGATGCCGAGTCTCAATGCGCAAAATGATCGCATTTATGCAGCGTCAATTGAGGACATTCCTGAAGATGATTTATTCGTTGAACGATTTCAAAATGTGTCAAGTGTCATGGTGCGGGGTGCCGTTCCGGCCGGCCACAAATTTCTCCTTGTTTTCGTTGACAAAGGCGTTAAAATTAATGCAGCTGTGTATGAAGAAGAAATATTGCGCAAAAACTTTCTGCTTCATGCCAAAACTGTGTTTGGTGATGAGCCATGGGTGTTTCAGCAAGAAGGAGCACCGGCACATCGAGCAAACAAAGTGCAACAGTGGTTGAGGGAAAATGTCCCTGGTTTTATTACCAAAGACGAATGGCCACCATCGTCTCCAGACCTAAATCCATTGGACTATTGTGTGTGGGGCTATATGCAATGGAAGCTAAATAATCTGGAGATTAAGAAAATCACAAAATTGGATGCATTCAAAAAGAAAATCATCAAGATTTGGAACGATATTCTCATCGAAATGGTGCGCGCCGCGTTTAAATCGTTTTCACGACGTTTGCGTTTGGTGGTCCGTGCAAATGAAGGAAGAATGAATCTAAAATTTTGGACCCTATTCCAAATCTCAATAAAGTTTTTGTTCAATTTTAGTAAAAAACAATACGTTTTTTAAGCATATATAAAAATATCAGTTATTCTGGGCCACCCTGTAAAAATTGTTCAGGGATTTAGTGCTTAATTGGTGCCTCTCAATACCGCTTAAAGTAAAATCAGTGCTTCAATTGTGAACTCGAAACGTAACAACTTTAAACTGTCTAGAGGAGACGGTAGCGAATTCAAAAATAAAAAAATTGAGTCCGAGTACAAATGGCATTCGGTCTTATTTTCAAAGCATACAGTTACAGATAAAAGTGAACATAATTCAAAAAATAATTTCAATGTGTATTTTTGATAGTGAAAAATTAGTCTCTTGCACTACGTTAAGCAAAATACACAGTTAATATGAGATAAACTCTAAAATCAGTCATAAATTAAATTATCACATATTGACAATCATCGTCATAAAGTCTGTTTCTGTTATCATGGGCATTGGGCAATCGATTCCTTTATCAAATTCAGTTCATTTAGCAGCAGATATATTCCCGTAATCCTGGAATGGAAGTTATATTTTTCAACCGATTAAAAGAAACCACCAAAAACAAAAATTCACCATTCAATACCGTCATTTAAGATGTAAAAGCTTGCCAAAAAGTATGTCTTGCAATCGTAAAAGTTTGTATTTGAAATCGATGAACGGTAAAGTTGGATCAATAAACATCGAGGCATGATTAAAAGCTCGGCAGGCAATGTTAAATGCTGAATTTAGTCCACGGATTAACCGTGCTATAAAATTGGACTTTAATGAATTCAGGATTCCTGATGGTTCTTCTTTCAGTGTTTATTTGGATTTGATTGAGAATCATTTGATCATTGTATTTTCCGGAAATAATTTTATGCAGAAACAGAACTGCTGCGTTTAAACGACGACGAACTAATGTCACTAGTTCCAAATTCTTGCAACGGTCAACATACGGCGCTAGTTGATAGTTGTTTTCTTCTCTGTTCAAGTAATCACCATTTAGATAGATAACTGCTTATTTCTGCACACTTTCAAGCTACAGAATTTCGAGCTTTTGTGATGAGGTAGCCAAATGTTACTGGCAAACTCTAAATTAGAAGTGAAGTTATCAACAGTTAAACTGATAATTGGCTGTTTGTTGTTAAATATTACCGTGCTCGTCTTTTCGCATCAACCCACAAGTTGGTTTTTAGATTTGTGACGTACGTATCAATAAGTTCGTTCATGATATTGCCGAAATATTGATTTTTCGGCCAATCAAAGATTGCTATCTTCGTCCAAATTTAGAACGAATTCACGAAATTCGGGATCCATTTCTGTTTGGTTTAAGTTTTGTTTCAGTACAGCGTAGAAACACTTTCGAATCAATTTATTGCCATCTTTGCTGAAGAACTCATAAATCAGCTCTTTAAATGCCTTTATTCACCTTGTGTAACGTACATTTGATGACGACGAAAACTTTGCCTTTGTCTTTGCTATCGTCATCAGCATTTTTCGTAACGGCTTTCTTTCTTTTCCCCGTTGTTTACTGCAAATAAAAAAAAACAATTGATCCCATTATTCATCTATACAAAGACAAATATTGTTCTGAATTTTTCAACTTTGTGAAACAATGAGAAAATGATCAGCAATAAAATCAAAAAAACATATAACAGCATATCTCACCTGCATAAATTTGGCCAGAAAACACAAAATTCCACCAAATCCAAATGTTACAACATAAAAATATTCGTTTCTTTCGGTTGACAATAGCTCTTCTTATAGAGGAAAACTCAAAAAAAAAAGAAGAAGAAGAAACAATTAGAACGATTTTGCATTTGAACGAAAGTTTAATCAAATTTCCTGTAAAAATTAAAGAAATTTTGTATGGGAGCCATGCTTTCATGCTACCATAATGACATGAAACTTTGCACACTGCACAGGCTATTTTCTACACGAAAAATTAACATTCTGAAAGTTAGAAGAAATTTCAATCAAAATTAGAGGTACTCCCCACAGAAATTTCTCGTTTTTCAGCCAAAAATCGAAAGTTTTATGTGGGAGTTACCTTTATTTTTGATTGAAAGTTCTTCAAACTCTCAGAATGTTATTTTTATTTGTAAAAAATGGTCTTTGCAAAGTTTCATATCATTGCGATATCGAACAGATATAGTTTCCATACAAAAATTGACTATTTTAGCCCATTTTTGTAACTTTTTGTTTGGAAAGTGCCTTAAAACGTTGTTGTATCTCAAAATAAATGTCAAATTCAGATTCCTCATACCAAAAAACCCCTTAAAACACATTTTCAATGAAATCGAAAACCTTTAAAATTTGCTCCAAAATGACCTTATCTCGAAAATTACCGACTAAAAAAAACGATTATTTTCGCTAACTTTGAAAAACGGCTATCACCACTGAATTCAGCGTACCCGAATTGACTTTACCACATAGGTCTCCCGTCTGTTCCATTTTACGACTTGCACAGTGTAACCCAACACAAATAAATACAAAATAAGCATTGTCTCACCTCAATCATTCGAATATACTGCAAAACTTCGTGATGAAAAACACTGTTTCTCTTGAATGCTTCGAACTGCCAATATTCTGCTCACGATTGCATAGCTTAGCACAAGCGCAACAGTCATTGAACTGTATCTATAAGCAAAATACACAACGAATCACACAAATATTAGAAATAGAGAATATTTATTTGTGCTTTATTCGATGGAACAACTCAAAATCAGCACTTCAATTTTTCGATTATTATAATCGCTGAAAAATTCTCATCAAATTCACTTTCTTTCTTGGGATAAAATTATCGATTGATAGAATTCTCAATCCAAATTCACTTGTCGAATGTTAGAATGAAATTTTGAAAAAATCGATTTATGCTAAAGATACTGGCGAAAGGTGAATGTCAACTTGTCTGAAAACTCTGAACACATCAAACTGAATTTGCCGCGATATGTGTGAATAATACGAAATGAAACGATGTAATTCTATTCAAATTTAAGGTGGCTGAACACAGAAACAGAGAAAGAATGACTAAACCGTATTAAATTGCATTGGCAAAGAAGGAATGGAAACGATATGTTATCAAAGCAACCAATATATGTGGAAATGGCAACGAATCGATTGAAAACAGCATTTCAATAATAAAACCGTAGTCTTGAATATTATCTTACTAAAACTATAAGGTTTTCTTTGTGCCGAATTTGTATATGATTGATGTCTTTTTGATATTTTTTTACTTTGGGATGTACCAATGTCAAAGGCTTCACTGTTTAAATATCATCAATTGTATTTTTTTTTTGTATTTTAAACGAATATCATTTTTCATATTTCAGTTATGAGACAGTAAAACCTGTCAATAACGGAATCTAACGGGGACAAAAAAAATGTCCACTATTGACACGAGTTCTATTAATAAAAGGTTTTCACGCCATTTCAGAAATCGTTTTCCATTATTGAGTGTAAATTTGAAAAAAAGTCGGAATTCATATATTTTTATCATCAATGGGCTAGCAATTTTTTTTTATTTATTTCAAACATAGAAAAAAAGAAAAGAATGGAAAAATGAAAATTAATCAATAAGTAATGGAACGGAATGGAAAATGAAATCATAAAAGTATAAAGTAAGTATAAAGTATATAATCGAAATCGGCTCCACGTACCTAAACAGAATTTCACGAAAAAATACTGGAACAAAAAAAACCAAACGTTTAGACTAGTTTGGGCTTATGGTGTTACCATATGAATCGTATTTTATTTCAAGAAAGCAACTTCATGTTAAACGTTTCCGGAATTTACATAGTTCTGTCACAAACATTTCTGAAAAAGTACGCCACATTTGCTTTGATTTAATTTGTTTGTTTTATTCCATACTTCAACGAATAATATTCAAAAAAACTGTAAAAATTAAATCGGAAGCAGTGAAAAGTGAATGTTTCGTTAAATTACTTGAGAGTAAAAAAATTCTCTGACGTGAAAAAACCGGCTATACCAGCGCAATGTATTTGTATAATTTAACGTTACAGCATTCAACTGCAATTACACATGCGGTTCATGGTAGTTTTTCTGGAACAAAGTCTCAAGAGATTTTGGTATCACGCGGCAAGAGCTTAGAATTATTACGACCAGATCCAAATACAGGGAAAATGCACACCCTTTTGACAGTTGAAGTATTTGGTGTTATACGATCGCTCATGACATTTCGTTTGATTGGTGGATCCAAAGGTAAAGAATAGTTTTGAGTTTTTGATTTATAAATTTTGATAATTTCCAATTAATTTATTTATAATTTAAATGCCACATATTCTGCAGATTTTGCTGTAGTTGGTTCTGACTCTGGGCGTATTATTATATTGGAATACATACCATCGAAAAACGTATTGGAAAAGGTGCATCAGGAAACATTTGGAAAATCGGGATGTCGTCGAATTGTACCTGGTCAATATTTGGCAATTGATCCAAAAGGTCGCGCTGTAATGATCGGTGCAGTTGAAAAACAAAAATTGGTTTATATTTTAAATCGCGATTCGGATGCTCGATTAACAATTTCCTCACCATTGGAGGCACATAAGTCCAACACTTTAACATATCATATGGTTGGTGTTGATGTTGGTTTTGAAAATCCAATGTTTGCATGTCTTGAAATCGACTACGAAAAATCTGACGCAGATCCATCTGGTGAAGCAGCTCAACAAACACAACAAACTCTGACCTTTTATGAACTCGATTTGTCATCAAATCATGTAGTACGAAAATATTCAGAGCCCCTAGAGGAGTATGCAAACTTTCTCATTTCAGTACCTGGAGGTATTTTTTCTGTTATTATTTTCAAAGTTCTTATTATTATATATATAATATATTATTATTATAAATTATCCTATTAACATTACTTTTCTGATAACTTTAGGTAAGGATGGACCTTCTGGTGTTTTGATTTGTTCTGAAAATTATTTAACATATAAAAACCTGGGAGACCAGCATGATATTCGTTGTCCAATACCACGAAGACGTAACGATTTGGATGATCCCGAACGGGGCATGATTTTTGTTTGTTCTGCTACCCATCGCACAAAATCAATGTATTTTTTCCTAGTCCAGTCTGAACAAGGCGATATATTCAAAGTGACATTAGAAACAGAAGATGATGTTGTATCCGAGATAAAACTCAAGTATTTTGATACAGTACCACCAGCAACGTCAATGTGTGTCCTGAAAACTGGATTTCTATTCATTGCTTGTGATTTTGGGAATCAGTAAGGATAAAAAATTACGACAAAATATTATTATTATTACTGTACAATTTGTTTCTATTTTCTAGTTATTTGTACCAAATAGCCCATCTGGGAGATGAAGACGATGAGCCTGAATTTAGTTCAGCAATGCCTTTAGAAGAAGGTGATACATTTTTCTTTGCGCCTAGGCTTTTGAAAAATTTAGTAATGGTAGATGAGCTACATTCGTACGCACCAATATTGGGGTGCCAAGTTGCAGACTTAGCCAATGAAGATACACCACAGTTATATTTAATGTGTGGCCGAGGTCCGCGCTCTTCATTACGAGTATTACGTCATGGATTGGAAGTGTCTGAAATGGCTGTATCTGAGCTTCCTGGAAATCCAAATGCCGTATGGACAGTAAAAAAACGAGCTGATGGTAATTTAACCAATATGTTTATATTTATATATATATTTATTTATGTTTATATATATTTATTTATGTTTATTTATGTATATATATTTAACCAATGTATATATATATATTTATCCAATATATATTATATTGGACTCTATTTATCTATTGCAAACAATCAAATTACACAGAAGCAAATATCCGAGTACGGTTACTCGTACTTGCAGTGTTGGCAGAGAGTCTACCCTTCATTATGAGCTACGCGCTCTATTTTACTCTATTTTTTGTGTTAACTTCATCCAAGTGAACGCATTGTAGTGAAATAAGAGATACATTGTGTAGTCATATGTACGTTGAACGCATGCGGCTATGACTACACATGTATTTCTTCTTTCACTATGATGTGTTCACTTGGATGAAATTAACACCAAAAATAGAGTAAAATAGAGTGCGTAACTCATTTTGAAGGGTAGACTCTCTGCTGACACCGCAAGTGCGAGTAACCGTACTCGGATATTTGTTTCTGTGTATACAGATAATATATTGCTATTTAATACTTTTAATATTAATTATTTCGAATTAAATACAATAAACTATTTAATTCTCCAATATCAAAGATGAATATGATGCGTATATCATTGTTTCGTTTGTGAATGCCACCTTGGTGCTTAGCATTGGTGACACCGTTGAAGAAGTAACAGATAGTGGTTTTTTGGGAACTACTCCTACACTTTGTTGCTCTTCTCTTGGTGATGATGCATTGGTACAAGTATATCCTGAAGGTAGGGGACTACACTATGTTATGGCATTTTTCTATTATTTTTTGCAAATATAAATGCTTCTTCCTGTTAATTTCAGGTATTCGACATATTCGAGCAGATAAACGAGTCAATGAGTGGAAAGCACCCGGGAAGAAAACAATATCGAAATGTGCAGTTAATCAACGACAAGTCGTGATTGCTTTATCTGGTGGCGAGTTGGTCTATTTTGAAATGGATCCAGTATGAGAGATCAATTAGGTGCCTAACTGTAAAGTATATTCATTGTTTTTTTTACTTCTTCAATCCAAATAGACTGGCCAATTGAATGAATATACAGAGAGAAAGCGGATGCCTTCAGATGTTTTATGTATGGCTCTGGGTACAGTGCCGCCAGGCGAACAACGTTCCTGGTTTTTAGCCGTTGGATTGGCTGACAATACAGTTCGCATAATATCATTGGACCCCTCCGAATGCTTATCACCAAGATCAATGCAAGCCCTGCCTTCATCAGCTGAGTCTTTGTGTATTGTTGAAATGGGTGTTGCAGATTCAATTGAAACTGAAAGTGGAAACATGCAAACAAGTGGTTCATTACATTTGAACATTGGTTTAAGTAATGGTGTTTTACTTCGTACATCATTAGATCCTGTGACTGGTGATTTGGCAGATACAAGGACACGTTATTTGGGATCTCGGCCAGTTAAACTATTCCGCATAAAAATTAAAGGCTACGAATCTGTCCTAGCAATGTCTAGCCGAACTTGGTTGAGCTACTATTTCCAAAACCGGTTTTATTTGACGCCGTTGTCGTATGAATCACTAGAATTTGCTTCAGGGTTTTCTAGTGAACAATGTTCGGAAGGAATTGTTGCCATTTCTACAAATACTTTGAGAATTCTGGCTTTGGAAAAACTTGGTGCAGTTTTCAATCAAATCACGTTCCCACTCGAATACACGCCTCGTCGCTTTACAATACATAGCGATACATGTCGACTGATAGTTGCTGAAACTGATCATAATGCTTACACAGAAGATACCAAAAGTATTCGTAAAATGCAAATGGCTGAGGAGATGCGAGAAGCAGCAGGAGAAGATGAACAAGATTTGGCCAATGAAATGGCAGAAGCTTTCATCAATGAAGTACTGCCTGAAAATATATTTTCAGCACCAAAGGCTGGAGTTGGTATGTGGGCGTCAGTTATTCGTATAATTGAGCCAGCTCATGGACATACAATACATAAGGTAAAATTGGCGCAAAATGAAGCAATCGTCTCAATGTGCACCGCAAAATTTCACTCGACAATGGATGGAAGAACATACTTGGCTATTGGTATTGCAAAGGATCTGCAGTTGAATCCACGATTAAACAATGGTGGATGCATTGATATTTATCGCATTGATGTCACATGTTCTAATTTGGAGCTCGTTCATCGTACTGAAATGGATGAAGTGCCAGGTATAAATATGATTTTTTTTTATTCACATGAAATATCACAGAACAATCCTTTATTTGCAAAATTAAATATATAGATAAATTTATATATATATACTGTGCCGAGAAAAAGTTTGAGACCACCTATGTATTTTCCATACAAAATGGCGTAAAATAACATTTTTTGAGGTTTTGTGGTATATTATTTCAATATATTTTGAGTAAAAAATATTCACTGTTTTTGAAATTGCAAGTCTTTGAATCCAATGATAGCTAAAAACAATTCATTTTCATACAAAATTTGTTATTTTTATCTGTGACAGGTGCATTATGTGCATTCCAAGGAAGACTCGTAGCAGGCATTGGAAAGATTTTGCGTATTTATGATTTGGGCAAAAAGAAACTCTTGCGAAAATGCGAAAACAAACATATACCGAATCAAATTGTGAATATTCAATCTATGGGACAACGTATCTATGTAGCCGATGTGCAAGAGTCTACATATTTTGTCCGATATAAACGTGCTGAAAACCAAATAATCATTTTTGCCGATGATACACATCCACGTTGGATAACATCGATGACATTACTTGATTACGACACAATCGCAACAGGCGACAAATTTGGTAATATTTCAAATATATTTTGTCATAATGATAGCTTTTAACAGCTGTAATCATATGATCAGATACATATAGTCAGATTCTATTATATGATGATGGAAAACACATAAGTTGCACAATACTCTTCTACTTAGTGGACATCTATAAATCTTATATTTTTTATAAGACTCTAATATAATTGTATTATTTCTGATCACTCTAGGTAATATTTCAATTTTGCGCCTTCCACACTCAGTTACTGATGATGTAGATGAGGACCCAACCGGTACTAAATCATTATGGGATCGGGGACTATTAAGTGGTGCTTCACAGAAAGCTGAAAATATTGGAACTATTCACATAGGCGAGATTGTAATGTCGATGCAAAAAGCAACTCTAATACCGGGAGGTTCTGAATCCCTAATATATGCTACGATTAATGGATCTGTGGGTGCTTTGGTTCCATTTACAAGCCGTGAAGACTATGACTTTTTCCAACACTTGGAAATGCATATGCGAAATGAAAATCCACCGCTTTGCGGCCGTGATCACCTAAGTTATAGAAGCTATTATTATCCCGTTAAGGTGCGATTCAAAATTAACAACGTATTCTCATACATCGTTACTGCATTTTTCTGTGGAAATATATATTTCCAGTTCTTAAAAACAATGCATATATTTACAATATTATTAATTGATAATTATTAATTCACAGAATATCATGGATGGAGATCTCTGTGAGCAGTTTACATCGTTAGACTTAACAAAGCAAAAGAACATAGCAAATGATTTGGGTCGAACTCCCAACGAAGTGGCAAAAAAACTTGAAGACATTCGAACAAGATATGCATTTTAAACTTAATTTCATTGTTAATTTCTCCAATAAAATAAAAAAAATAAAGTAATTCTGGACTTGATTGACATACTGATTTATGAATCAGGTTAATTGGTAGTAAGTAGATTTATATATTGATAATTTTAAACTATAGTATTTTCACTCCAGCAAACAAAAAAGTAAAAAGTAAGAAATATACATTTAAACAGAGAAAAATTTAACGTTTTGAACCATCTTGGTGGTCATTTTCGCGTCAAACGGAACAGAGATTATGTGCATAATTTACGAATTCCAATGGAATTGATCAAATTCATTCATGCATGCAATATTATTTCGTTTGTCAACATAATGTGGACACAACCCAATACAAAAGGTTTTAAATTGCGAATCCAACAACTTATTCGTTGTTCAAATAAAAAAATAAACAATTCATTTGGAAAGAGATTTATGTAATTTGATTTAAAATTCTGTAGAAGAACATTTTTTTATTGCATTTATTACTTTTCTACACACAGAGAGTGTAAGGTAAATGACGGCCTTAGAAGAAAACAATAACATACAGAACATGCTGCAAATAATACTAATACAAATTTTATGAGAGCAAAAACCAAATATATAAAGAGACAGCGCAAAAGGCAAATGCAAAACCAGCATGTGTTTCTTATCCCCTTATGATTTTCGAGTCAGTTAAAAGCCTCAATGACATGGTTTTAAGCAAATGTCAAATCATAACAATGTGTTGAAAGAAAAATTCTTATTCAGAACATTACATCGAAATAGTAAATAAATATTTTATTTTTTTATTATTATTTTTTAATAAAAATGTGATTTGACAATTTTGCAAGGAATGGGATTTGGCTTAATTATCTCTTATATCAAGCTATGAAAATAAATATTCCTTCAAATTTTCATCGTAGACCTATACAAAACATGCCTATTATATGAATCAACTAAAAAAAAATAGCATTTTCATCTTCATGTATATGATGAGTGAAAAGTATTTTTATAAGACATTTGCTTCTAATTTGCCGATCCCAAAATCTAGCACAGTTCGTAAGTTCTATAAATAAGCTAATAATTCGTTTGCACTTCTTTAATTATCAAACAGAAAGAAATTTGAAATTTAGAAAATATGGATTTTTAGGCTATTTTTGGTTCAAACTGATATAAATTATGGTTCATAATGGGGAACAGTGGTTTTTTTCTGTGGTGTGTGGTATGCACATTTTTTATCTTTGACTTGAGATCTCTATCTATGCATTCTTTTTCGAGAAAATGTCTGTTATATGTCCGGCCAGACAGTCACATTTTGGTTTTTGGTCAATTTGGCCACCGTAACTTGACATTTTTAAGTTGAAATTGGCACCATTCGATAGTTTACTTCAAGACCTTTAAAACTATATTCATATGTTCTCGGTATGTCAAGTTGAGGCGCCACAGTGATTGTATGAAAATAATGGCCACTTTTGGCCACATTCTCAGTGAGAATTTCTCACTTTCAAAGACACCAAGTTAGGCTCGTTTTCTAGTTAATGGTCATTATGTGTCCGGCCGAACATTGAAAAGCAAAACTGATTTTCCAAGAGTTGAAAAAGACAAGAGAAACAAACGAAACGTTTTTTGGTGTTTGGCCAATCCAAATTGAACTTTTTGGATCGCAATTCGATAACTCACTTCAAGACCTTTCCAACCAGAACAAAAAAGTCTTAGTTTTTTGTGTATTTTAATCACAGCAAATTGCGCACAGAAACATATACACTTTTTTTAGGAAAATCATATGAAATTTTTAAAATGTTGATTTTTTCGAACGGGTTGTTCGATTTAGATGTTTAAGGTATCGATGTTTAAGAAGTAAAAGACCTCTTTCAGTGCCATATATGGCCGTTGAACTGAACTATAATCCTTTTCTTGAAGGGACCAAAGACAAATGATCGGATTTTCAAACTTCAATATTACTTTTCCGCACAAACCTATAGGGGCTTAATAACTATAAGGGGCTTAATTCAAAATTTCAACGACTGAATTCCATAATAATATCTAAATTAACTGAATTTTTCAGCAAACGAATGAATTCCAGTGAATTCTACGGCGATTTCATTCAAATATGTGAGATAGTGGTGAATAGTTTCTGCTGGCAATTACTGCAATATTTATATTTTGTGTAACGAAATTGTAAATGTTTTTTATATTTTTTTAATAAAAATTAATTTTATTTTCAATTTTGAGCGATTTTCTATCGAAAACAATCGGAAATGTTGAAAAAATAATAAGTTAAAAAATATTGCGGTTATCATAACCTCACTTTATTATACATTATTTCCCTGTGTGTAAAATTGTACATTCTCTCATTTGCTGATAATACAAAACTATCAAAGTGTATCAATCATTGGATTGCATTCTTCTTACGAATGACTTCGATTGTATAGCGGATTATTATACTAAATTTATTAAAATTAAATGTCAACAAAACAATGATCATATCATACTCGTATCATCGGGATCACTGCAATATGACTACGAATACAACATAGGCGGCGTAAAAATTGAAAGAGTCTTTGTAATAAGAGACTTGGGTGTATTGCTTAATGTGAAGTGTAACTTCAAGTCACACATTGAGCATGTTACGGCTGAGGCCAAAGCAAGACTGGCTTGGTTAAGGGAGAAAACTTTTGTTACACAAAAATGACAAATGTTACACAAAAGTGGCAAATGTTACACAAAAATGACAAACAAAAGTGACAAATGTTACACAAAGTATCAAATTGGCAAAATAGATGAAATGGTTGGTGTGTAAAATGCAACTAACGATTTAAAAAAATAAAAATATTTTTTTACATTTTTGAGTTTGGATTTAATTTAACTTAACTAAAAAACTTTAAACTCAAAACACACGAGAGTAGTAAAATAATATGTGACTGCACCATTTTAATTGCGACAACAGCATCCGCCATTTTAATTTTTTATTAGTTCGATTGATTCGTATTTAGTGCGACGAATTTTCTTGGAAATATTTTTTTTCTCTCCTTCATTTCGTTGCTTCAAATTGTTCCCCCGCCAGGGCTATCAATGAAATTCAATTCAAACTTGAAAAATTATCGAAACATTTACTTTATTTTTTTCTCTCCTTCAAATTGAAATTAAAATAAAAATTGGAATCCAAACTCAATTTTTTTTTTTTGAAAAATCGTTATTTGTATTTTACACACCAATCTAACCATTTCATCTTTTTTGCCAATTTGATACTTTGTGTAACATTTGTCAAAATTTGTGTAACATGCGTGTGTAACATTTGGCACTTTTGTGTAACATTTGTCATGTAAAATGTGTCATATTTGTGTAAAAATTTGTCACTTTTGTGTAACATTTGTCACACGCGTGTGTAAAATTTGTCACTTTTGTGTAACGTTTGTCATTTTTGAGTAACGTTTTCCGGCTGCCGCTTGGTTAAAGTTCTGCGGCAAGGATTTCGTCGACCCATGGACAATTGACCGCAGACATTAGGCTCGAGCTATGCATATAGCGGCTGCTATTTTATAGGTGCTATTCATAGGCGCTATTTAATTCGTGTGCTGTGTATAACACCGAGTAGGAATATCATAGCCTACTATTCTTTTGTACATTTGAATGTGAGTACGAGAGAGATGTAGAAAATAACGCACAATATGCATAAATGCATTAAAACGAGATAAATAGCGCCTATGAATAGCAGCTATGAAATAGCGGCCGCTATATCCATAGCTCAAACCTAATGTCTGATTGACCGTCTCTACTTTACATTTGTCATAGCAGTGAAACGTCATGTTTGACAGCTACTACGCGTACCAGTAGTGTCATCCAGCTGCTGGAGTCCAGCAGCTGTTTTTTCAAAAAGCATCATTCAATAATGATTTTTATTTCTGAAAAACTCAAAAAATCTTCTTTTTAATTATTTTTTTCGGATGGATAAAAATAATTAATTCACGATTTGGTTCAAAATTGGTCATGTTCTAAAAAAATAACATTTTTCCATTCGCTACAAACTGTCCATTTGAATTGACATTTTTGTTCTTATGCTAGCAACTTCAGCAGCTCGATGTGCACATAACAAATTCAGAATAGGCATTTTTTATTTTATAAATTGGTTTTATGTTTCATTTTTTTAAGCGGTACTTTTATCCGTGTTAAATGAATAAATTCTTGAAATATCTACACTGAAACAAAAAAAATCTTGATTCAGCTGCTGGAGTCGGACTATACATTTCAATCACATTCAAGAGAAGAATTGCAAAAATCAACATTCGGTAACTTTTATTAAACTAAAGAAAATTATATTATTATTATTATGCATTTAAAGTTGTTTAAAATTATTTTAGCAACAAAAATTAATAAAAATCCAGTAATAAATTATTGTCGTTGTTTGTTATAAACATAGATGCGTACTGAAATAGTTCGGTACGTTCATTTGACATATTACAGGTGGCGCGTCGAACCGCAAAACTACGTATTTCATTACTATGACATTTGTACTACCAATTATTGACTATGGAGCAGAAATTTGGAATTCAAACTACGAAAATATGTGCAAAAGAATAGAGTCAATATAAAAACAATTTTTACTATTTGCGCAAAAGAGAATGAACTGGAACAGCTATAGACTACCGAAATATGAACAAAGACTGCTGTTTCTACAAATGATTACGCTTGAAGAGAGACGCGAGATGGAGCAATTGTCTTTCATCTTCAAAATTATTCATGAAGATATGAAGTCGACTCATATATCAAACAGTTTGAACTATTATGATACAGCTTATCTGAATATACGTACAACACCGCTTTTTAATATACGAATAAGAAGAACAGATTATACCAAATTTGAACCTATTAATTATATGCTTACAGTGCTCCAAACAGTGATACGAATTTAATCGATTTAGAAGTTAATTTATCTACGGTTAAATTAAGACTACAAAATTATTTAAAACACAATATTTATTTATAAATATAGTTAAATTTCTCTTGTATATAAAGTAATTAGAATTGAGAATACATAAGATTGGATAATTGAAACAGCTGATTCTAATATTAAAAGGACTATTTGAATAGTCAATAAATGGAACATTGTACATTAGGGTGTTTCCCATATCTGTAAATAGAAAAATGGTATTTATTAATTTAAAGTAGGCAAAATTATATGTTAGTTAATGGCATTTATACAACGACACGATTGATGTTAGCACTTCCCGAAGCAAAAAACTGTTTTCAAAATCTAATGATACTTACAATGGAAAAACGCTCTGTTTGTACTCCCGCACAGCCATCTCAACCAAATGGGAAATGACTTTTTTTGTGCATAACTAACCCACATATTCGGGATAGCAGTTACGTAACAAATGTTACTTATGATTTATTTTATTTTATTGTATGGTATTGTGATGATTAGTTGGCTGCTATTCGAACTCGGTTTCGGATATGTCCACGTCGTTATCGTCGTCGAAGACGGCGGCATCGGCGTTGATTTGATTCCAATATCGGTTGATTGCAGCAGGTATTGGAAGTCCAAGCAATGTCCATAGTCCTGATTAATCGAAAAAATGAATCTTTTTTTGCGATCATTCAATCACATTGTGTATCAATATCCTTACCTTTCAGTAGAATGTTCTTAGCAGACACGACGTCACGATGCCAAGTCACGGTGCATTCGAGGTCTAATTGCC